GCAGTGGGTGGGCAGCAGGGCAGAGGGCTAGCTCAGTTGTCAGGCTGCACGGGTGGCCTCAGGTAGCACAAGGTGCTCAATTGTCCCCTGGGAGTGGGCCAGGGCAGTGCTGCCTTGGTGGGGGACGGGCTGCTGCCCAGGGAGCCAGGTGACATCTTGGAGAAGAGCTGACTGAGCTGAACTTGAGGAGGGGGTGAGGGAAGCATTCCAGGAGGTGGGAAGACAGCCCCCTGGTGTTGTAGGACCAACTCCCTCTTCTTTGCCAGGCCCAACCCTCCTGGTTGCGCTTCCTTGTTTGTTTCTCCATCCTGGGTCTCCGTCCCCTTCTCCCCATCAGCTCCTTTCCTTGCCTCTTGCTCCCTCCCCCAGCACACAAACCTTAGCCAAGTGCCTTCCAGTCCCTTGCTCAGTATGGTCAGAACCTAACTCCCTCGAGGGTCCACCTCAGACCCTTCATCCCCTCCCTCAGCGCCAGTGCCTCACACCCTTAGACAGAGCACTCTGCAGCCTGACGTCATCTCTGAGGCACCCACCTGGGTGTCTCTCACACCTGGCCCCCTCACCCTGCACACCTAGCAACCCTGCACGAACCCCCAGTCTCATGCCTGTGGCTGTCCCCATCCCTCACACCCAGGATCAGCCTCCACCCAGAGCAGGTGGCAGGAAATGTTGGCTGAAGGATGTGTGTGATAGCTTTGGGATCGCAGATGGACCCTGGACATGCTCAGTGTGTGGTCCTGGCTGCCCCACTGGGAGGAGACTGTGTGGGATGACTTTGGGGCCTCAGATGGACCCTGGACAAGCTCAGAGTGTGGTCCTGGCTGTCTCACTGTGAGGCCGGCCTGGGGTCAGGATCTGTGCTGGACACTGTCTCACTTCCATTCTTAGTAGTCTGGAGGCCCAAAGAGTTGAGCCTGGGTTCCAGACGCTGGACATTAAATAAGGAAGACTGGAGAGGAATTTATGTCTTTGAATTATGATTTTGAAGAAGACTATTGAATATACCACACACTGTCACAGAAGAACACACAAACCTATCTTGGAGGAAGTACAGCTAGAATGCTCTTTAGAAGTGGGGATTGTGACGCTTTGTCTTTCATATGTTGGACATGTTATCAAGATAGAACAGTCCCTGACATCATGCTTCGTAGAGTAGAGGGTCTGTCAAAAGAGAAAACCCTTAAGGGACGCACTGACACAGTGTCTTCAGCAATTCTGAGGATTGAGCAGTGTGCTGATCTGTTGGACATGGGTCACTAGGTTAGGGCCAGCTAGACAAAAACAAGATTATTTGAACAGAGTCTATAAATTAAAAATGCATTATAAACCTAGAAAAATCACTAAATCAAACATCGCTAATAATCAGTGATGGGAGCAGAAAGCCTCATTTTTCTCCCAGGGAGCGGCTGGTAGATTTGAACTTCTGACCTTGTGGTTAGCAGCTCAGTTTGTAATCCACTATGCTACCAGAGCTCAATAAGTTATGAATTGGGCTGTGAATCTCACAGTCAGCAGTTCGAATCTACCAGCTGTTCTGTGGGAGAAAGATGAGGCATTCTGCTCCCGTGAAGATTTACAGCCTCAGAAACCCTGCACAGGGTCACTATGGGTCAGAACCGACTCCACGACAACCCCCCACCCTACCCCCAGAGCTCAATAGTGGAAATAAGATAAAATAATAAGGAAATATAGAGAACAAATAGAAAATAATCTGGAAGTGGATAGATTTAAACTCAACCGTCCTGATAATCACACTACATGTAAATGTTGGTCTCAATCTCTAGCCCAAACAAAGAGATTAGCAGATTGGATGATAAAGAAGCTGCATGTCATACTTTTTTGTATTTTTACCAAAAGAGCCTCAAAGCCACCATCCTAGGGTGCAATGAGGATTTTGATGACCATTTCATGGGAAGCTAGAGGCAAAGTCAGTCTCTTACTGCCTGAGCTGAGCTGAGCTTTCATCCATGTTACTCCCATGCCTACACACATCACACATCCTCTCTCCAGGACCTACCTGGGGGAGGAGATACAGGTCTGTTTCTCCTGATTTCCTGCCCCTAGTTGAGACCATCGTCACCTTAGGCCTATCTCTCCATGTTGTTGTTAAGTGCTGTTGAGTCGGTTCTGACCCACAGCGACCCTGAACAGGGTTTCTGAGGCTGTAAATCTTTAAGGGAGCAGAAAGCCTCCTCATCTTTCTCCTGCGGAGCAGCTGGTAGTTTCTAACTGCTGACCTTGCGGTTTGCAGCCCGATTCGTAACCACAATACTACCAGAGCTCCTTATCCCTCCATACACAGCTCCGTTTCCCCCACCTTTCTCATGTAGGGCAGTCCTCTAAGCAGATTCAAGTTCACTTAGTCAAGAAAGAGCTTGCTGACGTTGGTTCCAGTGGTCTTGGGACACAGATGGGTAGTATAGTAACAAGCCACTGCTTCCTGTCACCTTCATAAACTGTTGCTCCGGTATGTGGCTTCATGGGCTCTCATGCCTCCTGACATCAAGCTGAATGTGACCTGGTTACCTGTCTGTCATATTACCTGCCTGACCTATCTCCTGGGGGAGCAGCCCTTTTAAGCAGACCCACCTGCAGGGTGGGCTGTGCTGTGCTTGCATGGACTGTCCTTCTGGGGAGCCCTCCATACCGCTGGGTTACGGCAGTGTGTGTGCACTGTGGTGCATGCCGGTCCGGGCTGAGACTGGGTCATGCTACCTGAAGTTCCTGGACGTGGCGGTGGCAGTCCCCCGGCCCCTGGCCAGAACCCTCACTGCAATCGCAGACCAATCCTCTTAAGTCAGTGACTGCAGATGCCCACGTCTTGTCCCCTGGTCAGGATTGTAAACAAGAAGAAGGACAGAGCACAGCCACCGTCCTACTTCAAAAGCTCTCGTGAGTACAGACAACAGTCCCTGGTCCTGTGCAGGAGGAAGACACTAAACAAGGACACAAATGAGCCACCAAGCTGAGGTCAGAAGTGCATGCCCCGGACTCTAGATCTGTGGTAATAAATGTCTGTTGTCCCAAGTCACCCAGCATGTGGTCACAGCAGTCCCCCAAATCTCACACGACACCCAAGTCACGTCCACTGGCTTGGCCCATCTACATTCAGCTTTGAATTCAACTGTCTACCTCAGTTACAACTGTCTCCTGACCCTCCACCTCTTCCTGACCACAGTGTCCGCGTGACTGGGACTGTCCAGGCACACTGTCCTGGCCTGGCTCGCTCAAGAATTTCATTTTCTTTCCTCTGAGCAAACAGAGGTGAGGAGGGCTGGACTGGGTCCACACAGACAAGCGCCACTCAAATAGCATCTTTGTTTCGGGAAAAGCTCTTGTGGAAATCTATGTTGCGCTAGCAGATTTTTCTACATTAGGGCCTTCTCTTCCAGTTGTGGCAAGGCTATTAAGAGGGTCAACCGCTTCGATATTTCAACTGTGACTTTAAGTGGGAAAGCTGAGCCTGGACCAAATGCTTATGAACATTTTGATACAGAGTTCTGTTAGGACAGTGGCAATTAGATTTTTCCCATGCCCAAGACATATGTGCCTTTTCTGGTTCAAACAGACCATAAACAGAACTTGGGCCCACTTGTCCAAAACTTGCAGAAGCCCGGCCGGCCCCTCTGTGCAAGTTCTGGTCCGGAGGACATTAAGTAGGGTTATGTCTACATAAAGAGAGAACGATTGCCCCTTCTCTTTGCACCATCTTGTCACTGAGGTGAGGAGGCCTTCCTGAACAGGCCTGGGGGACACGCAGCAGCCAGGCTGTGGGGGAGAAGGGATGATGCTGTGAACTGTGGAGGGAGGATGATGGATGGTGATGGAGATGGTGCTGAAGAAGGTGGGGATGATGCTGATGGTGTTGTGAACTGTGGAGGGAAGGCTGATGGATGGTAATGGAGATGGTGCTGATGGTGGAGTGATGATGATGGCCAAGTTCTTGGTCGTGGTGGCAGTGCTGATGGCAGATTGACGTGGAGGTGACAGTGGTGATGGCAGGGTAGAAGGTGGACGTGTAGACAGCACAGCAAAGCTGCTAATGGTGGGGTTGGGTTGGTGGTGGAGGTGGTGATGGTGGTGGTGTTAATAGTAAGCTAATGGTGGAGTTGGTGGTGGAGGTGGCGGTGGTGATAGTGAAGGTGATGGTGGAGTTGATGGCTTGCTGCTGCTATTGAAGATGGCAGTCGTAACTGGGCTGATGGTGTTGGACAGAAAGCATACCTTCTGGCCATAGCTCAGGGAACCCCTGGGCACCTGTACAAAGTTTCATTTCCTCAGAGGCCCAGGAAGGACTGCCCACGAGCCCACACTGGGAGCTAGGGGGGCAGGAGCACCAATGGTCCTCATCCTTCAAGCAGGCTGTCCTCAGCCCAGGAGGCCCTGGTCTCAAAGTCCTTTTCTGGGAACTGTGTTTGGAGGGTCTGAATCCCAGGAGGTGGCCCCAGACTCAGATAAGGGGGTGGTGGTGAGGTAGACCACCTGGGCCAGTGAAGGTCGGCCTACTGGACCCCTCCATGGTGACCCCAGAGCCACCTTGCCCAGCTGAGATTGACCGAGGAACAGAGGACTGAGAACCTGGGCAGGCATTCAGGAGTCAGCAGGGGCGGGGCCGTCGGCCACTGGGCAGGGTCCCGGTGAAGGACAGAAAGGGCCGAGAGACCCTGCTGGGGAAATCGAGGTCCTAGGAAGCGTGCGCCCACAACCACACTGTCTGAAAAAGCATCCAGACAAGGCCAGGTTCCCTCTGCGCCTGGGACCAGCCGGCGACAGATGTGTGAAGCAGATGCTGCCCAAGCCCCCCAGGCTCTTCGGGCAGCGGCAGGGGCGCGCGCTTGCTCAGCGCTGCGCGCCCCACTCCGCGCCTCTCCCGCGGGCCGCTGTCCGCCCTGGCGCGCGAAGGAGGAAGCGCTGTCCTCATTCCACCTCTGGCCGCCGGGTGCCAAGTTGCTGGCGGCGGCGGCGGCGGCAGCGCCCACCCCGCGGGGCTCAGTACTCACGTAGAGGCCGGAGTGCTCGGCGCCGAAGAATGGGAAGGGCTCCGAGAGCGGCCGCAACCCCGAACCGCCGTCGTCCTGCTTGGGGGTGACGGCGTCGCCGCGCTCCGCGCCGAACGGATAGAAGTCAGCTAGCGTCACTGCGCCGCGGGCCTCGCGCGCCCCGAACCCCAGGGCCGCGGCCACGAGCAGCATCCAGGCGGCGCCGCACCGCATCGCCGAGGGAAGGAGGGACAGTAGGGACAGAGGGGACAGTGGGGACAGCGGGAGCACAGCGGGGCGCGGGGTCGAGTTCGTGATCCGTCGACACAGGATAGGCGCGCCGCGGGAAGCGCAGGACCAGGATCGGGCCCTGGGCCGGCCGTCGGTGGGCTAGCGCCCCGGCCCGCTCGGTCGCACGCTGAGCCGCCGTACGGAGAAAAGCGCAGACTGAGCGCGGTCGCCCAGGCCTCCCCTGGGCCGCGACTTAAATACCCGACCGGCGGGCGGGGCGGAGTTATGCTAATAGAGGCCTTAAAGCGTCAGGCTCCTGATGGGCGGGGCCACGCTTCAGTTCCGCGGGATGGGAGGGTCCTCACCCCAGTACCTCCGTCCTAGGAGCCATCTGGATAGATCCGTTTTTCTGAGACCTGTTGGGATGTTGGGGGTCAGCCTTTCTGAGCGGCCTCTTTGGTCCCTGCTAAGCCCGCCAGTGTGTGGCCCACTCGTCCCCATACAACCTCCCACCCCACCCCAGCTCTGAGTCCAGAGACTTCCAACACCACTAGCAATCTCCTCTCCAACTTGATTGTTTGTGGTGAGGCTGCCCTGGCCTGGCCTGGTGGTGGTGGGATGTCCTTCTTGCTGACCACAAGCTCGAGGCCCTCAGGAGACACACCAGGAGGCTTCCTGGGGGGCAGGCCCTGGGGAGAACGACTCTTCATGGACAGGTCCCTACAGAGGGAGCACACATTAGATTCTGTGTCCCTGTCCCATGGGCATCCCAGGCCCTTGATCCCTTCACTCGGGACATTAAGCTGAGTGTCTGACCCGCCTCCAAGGAGCTGCGGTGGTCCACCTCTGTGTTCCCACATCCAACGCAGGACCTGGGCTCTTGGAGCCTCGGTCCCCTTTTTCTCTGCTCCAGCAGCCTGATTGCAGACCAAGTCTGTGCCCCACAAAGAAAAGCGTGTACCCCTCAGAGACAGTCAGACACACAGGGAGGAATAAACAGAACTTCTAGCACTGAGCAATAGTCGTGGCGGCTTGGCATTCCGGAAAGTTCTTTATGTTTTTCTGCATTTTCTAAAATGTCTTCAGCTACCCATGTGCTGTTTTGCTATCAGAGCAAGCAACTCTAACTTATTTTCAAGAAGCAGTGTGCGAGAGTGAGTGTGTGACTGGAAGTCACAGGCTCACACGGAGGCTGCGCTTGGCATTTTCACCCCCCAGTGATTCCCAGTTCCGGCTTGGCTTGGTGGCAGGCCAGGACCTGGGCGAGGCCAACAAGGCAGAGCATTTAAGGATGTCGGTGTTCTCAGCGGACCCTGCACTAGCATGTCCTGAAAGCCAGTGAGTGCCTCCTTAAATCTTACTCCCTGGCCACCTCACTTGAGTCCTGGTGTGGCGCTGTAGGATAAGTACTAGACTGCTAAGCACAAGGTCAGCGGATCAAAGTCACCAGCTGCTTCTTGGAAACCTCATATACAGTTGCTGTGAGTGGGCACCAACTTGAGAGTAGTTAACAGCAACCTCACTTGCCTCTTCGTGTAAAGGACCTGCTTGGAAGAGGATTTAACGGAGGCACCGATGGTGAAGGGCTCTGCCTCATGTCACAGCCTGGAACCCCAGCCTCTTGGTGTCCAGACTCCAGAGCTACAGGACAGCCATAGGTCCAAGAAATGACCCATGAGAAAGGTGTTCTGTGGGAAGACTTAGAAGTGACAGCTAATCTTCAGGGCTGGGACCGAGCCCAAGTTCACAGTGGTTCTCAGCAGGAGCCTGCCAGGGAGGAATTTCACACACTTCACACGCCCACACATATACACTCTCTCACAAACACAAGTTCATACACTCAGCCACACCTACACACACACAGTCACACACACGTTCATACAGGCAGACACGCTCACACACCTACACATACACACACACTAACACACAGTCACACACACATATGTTCACATTTAGCCACACTCACCTTCTTGCATTCACTTATACGTGCCCACCCAGACTGCACACTCACTCACACATGCTCACACAGCTACAGACTTGTTCACACATATTCTCACTAACATGTGTACACACTCACATCCATCACACACATGTGCACACTTACACAGACACAGGCACTCATCCACTCACAGCCACACACACATGCAGACACACACACACATTCCCACATGTTCACACACCTACACCTACACACACACACTAACACACAGTCACACACACATGTTCACACACCTACACACACACAAACACACAGTCGCACACACATGTTCACACACCTACACACATGTTCACACACCTACACAACACTAACACAGTTGCACACACATGTTCACACCCACACACATGTCCACACACCTACACATACACCAACACACAGTCACACATACATGTTCACACACCTGCACACACACAAGTCGCACACACATGTTCACACACCCCCACACAGTCACACATACATGTCCATACACCTACACACATGTTCACACACCTACACACACGAACACACAGTCCCACATACATGTTCACACACCTAAACATACACACACACATGTTCATAACCTACACATACACACACTAACACACAGTCGCACACACATGTTCACACACCTACACCTACACACACATGTTCACACACCTACACACAGTCACACACACATGTTCATACACCTACACACATACATGTTCACACCTACACATACACACACATGTTCACACACCTACACATACACACATGTTCACACACCTGCCCTCCTCCCTGCCCTATCCCCCCTGGCACACCCCGCTCTGCATTCAGAGCCCCCTGCCCCCCCCCATGCCGACTTCCCACGTATTGCCCAGCTGTGCACAGCCCTCCTGACCCCAAGTCTCAGGGAACCTGAGGCTGGTTAAGGGGCTGCCCACCTTGCAACCTTTCAGAACCTGTGCTGCCAGCATGGCACCGGGCACATAGTGGTGCTCAATAGAAGCACTGAGCGAATGAGCCATGGGCAGACTGTGCAGTGGCATTACCAGGAAGCTTTGCAGACACCCCATCCTGCCCCAGCCCAGAGATCCGGGCTCCTGACCTGGGTGGGCAGTAGCAGCTAAGACCCTCAGGTCTCAAGCCCCTAGTGAGGCCACAACCTTGCGTCCACGCCTGGCTGGCCGGCATGGCCCTAGTCCTGTAGCTGGTTTTCAGCTGGGCTGGGAGACTGGGGGTTAACTTCGACATTAATGTTCTGGGCATTGCATTGCATTTACCAAGAAAAAAAAAAAAAAGAAACAAAACAAAAACTCCACAGGCAGAAAAGGAGAAAAAACATATATATTTTTTTCAGGTGCTAAAAATATGATCAGGAAATACTTTTCAGCACTCTACTGTTCAGGTTCCTCTGGACTCAAGGACGCCTTTGTCTCCACCACAGAACGTCCACATTTATCAAACCCAAGATCGTTTTATCAAGGAGGCTCTGCTCCCGGCAGGAAACCTGAGCCTCCCACCAGGCCTGCGACATTTTAATTTAGGACCTGAGTCTGTGTGTGCAATTTAGGTATGGGGTCTCCGGGGGTAACCTCAGGACGCCAACTTGGGGCCAGCCCTCCCCCTGCACACCTGGCTGTGGAGCTGGCCTGCTGGTCCCCCACAGGATGGCCCAAGTTCACATCCAGGGTTTCTCAGGCCGAGGATGGACTGGCTGCACCCCCAGCTTTCTCTTTCATCCCCCACCCCCAAATGTGGCTGGTGAAGAATAGACCCCCCTACAGTGTAGACAGTCTGGGGGAAAACCTCACCTTCTCGGGTTTGGGGACCTGGGAATGCTGGCAGGGCTGGCCAAGGTCAGGGTCAGAGGAGGGCTGGCGGCCAGGCTCCTGCTCCATCCTTACACTGTGAGCTGGTTCCCATCTCTCCTACCCACCTCACCTTGATATTCAATTACAGCTGCCAGAGTCAGGCAGAGAGGGAGAGGCAGAGTCTGGGTGGGGAATGGTGGAGATGGAGCGCTGAGCTCTCACCTCCCAGGCTGCTGGCTTTTGTTTTGTGTGGAAAGAAGCAACATTGGGAGCACTTTGAGTCCAGGCAGCAGGTGGGCTGTGGCTTGCCCCCAACCCTCAGGGGAGGAAGCCCTGCTGGCTTCCATCCCACACCCTGGCCGCAGGACTCTCTATTGAGAGTCACTGAGGAAGCTGGAAGGCTTGGGTGAGCTTCACTATTGCTGCATTTTAGTGACATGGGAGCATTCTGAAGTGACAGCGTCCAATAGAAAAGGTCCATCCCAAGTCGCGTGTAGTATACCCCCCAATCATGATTGAACTGGCCCCCCCTAAAATGTGTGTCAACTTGGCTGGGCTGTGAATCGCAGTGTGATGTCATTTTCCTCCACCCTGTGGTTAGATGTCTTGTCAGCGTTCACCTCTGTGATGTGAATGGGGAGCGTCATGGTCTCATGCCATAAACACTCGACTGGGAACTACAAGATCCATCGTTGGAGCCCACCAGCTGCTCCTCAGGAGAAAGATGAGGCTTTCTGCTCCTGCGAAGATTTAAGGTCTCGGAAACCCTATACAGGGTCACTATGAGTTGGAACCAGATTAGCACTTAGCAACAATGATGTTGAGAAGGCAGGGTACAAAACCTCTTCAAAGAGCAAGTGAAGAAGCAAGTGAAGAGACTAACTAGCATGAAGAAAGAGGAGCTGAGAGGACCTCCTAGACCCAGAGACAGAAAGATGCCGAGGCTCATGGAGGTGCTGATGGGAGGCAAGGCCCTTCTCCTGGGAGCCAACAGAGAACCTTCCCCCAGAGCTGGTACCTGGACATCAGACGAGAGAGAGTGTGTTTCTGTCAAAGCCACTCACTACGCCATTTCTGTGGTAGCTGCACTAGAGAATGAAAGCGCCCACCCTCCACCGGCCTGTGTGTGCAGTGGAAGAGACACCTGAGGTCAGGTGATCCAGCCCATCTGTAATGACTGAAAAGGATGACGGCTGTCCAGCGGGGCAGTGCATCCTCCTTCTAGTTGGCCT